TTTTGCAGGCTCTGAATACAACTTGGTTTAATATTTAGTCAATATGTTTACTTCTCATGTATCTTTCCTATATCATATTGATGTAATTGTTCCTCTTCCCTTTGTCATTAAAACCCCTTGTTTCTGTGTAACCGTTTGGGGGGGGGCGGGTTTCAGCATCTGCATGGGAGGGCAGGTAATGATGCAGAAATGCGATCATCATTTTTCCTCAGTTCTTTTCCACCCTGTACAAGGAAGAGGTATGCATGGAGCGGATTTTAGGCCCGCATCCCCCAACTTCAGGAGAAAATGAGAGAAGCGATGAGAGGAGAGATCATAGAGCCTCCAGCATAGAGAGCTGAAGCCTGTGGAACTTAATGGGAGATCAGAATGCAAGTCATGGCACCAAAATCTATTACTGTTTGGGGGTGATTTGAACTCCGGTGTCGCCCCAGCTGCATGGGGTGGGTGGTAATGATGCAGAAGTGCAATCATTTTTCCTTGGTTCTTCCCCACTGGTGCTGCAAAGAATCATAGGTCAGTGAGATTTAGAAAAAGATTTATTAAAGGTATATTTTAGAAGGAAATGGGCCATGCTAAGGAAGGCTGCAGCCCTGTGGAATTTGGGAGGTGAAAAGATAAAAGAAATAAAAGACCAGGTATGCCCCAAGGGAGGGATGGGTTTTCAGCCAAGAGAACTGTAACAGCACAGAAGTGGGAAGGTCTGTATAATATTTGGACCATGATGAGTGGTTACAAAGGCATTCCTAGGTGATTGGCACATGAGGTCATTTTGATTGACACTTGGCTGCTATATAACTATGCCTAGTACGCGTGCGCTTAACCAGAATTCAGTCTGTTATATTAGATTCATGAACTTCTGGGCATAAACATAGTATTATAATAATGGTATAATGAGGCTGAGGTTGTGGGCAGGTTAGAGTGGTACTTTCTGCACTTGTGTATGTGGCCAGATTAAACCAGCTATAGGTTATCTCCCTCCCGTTTTTTTGTTTTTTGTTTTTTTTGTTTTGTTTTTTTATTTATTTATTTTTGTCTACTGGAATGCTGGAGAGATTTTTTTTAACTACCAATGGGGTTTCTCTGGGAGGTCTCTAGGCTGGGCCTCTATTCCTTTGTTCCCCTGTCACCCATGTTTGATTAGCTACCTAACATTTGCCTTTGAATTGGAACAGTATTTGGGTTTCTGCCTGAATCTGTGCTTCCCAAGTAGCCATTCTTTTGGATCTCAAATAAATGCTTGTTAAATCTCACTTTGGCTTTAATTTTTAAGTTAACATATCTGCTGTTAGCAGTGGGATGTAAAGTGTCCTCACCTTCATGAACTTGCATCTCTTGGAGCTGGGTATGGTACCTTTATTTGAGATTTGAAGGGGTTTTCCCCTCAAAGTGCATGTGGAGGTGATTGCCTTGGGGATGGTTGTCCTAGTGCCAGAGTTCGTTACCACATAATAGATTCCCCCTTTTCCCCCCACAAGCCCTGTTCAGGAAGGAACCTTCACTTATGGAGCTTACTACTGCATGATAAAGTATCTTTTTAAAGTTTTTCTTCATGAGGACTTTTCACAGCTCTCA